TGGGGACTAGAACCCAGATCGCCTGAGTCCCAGTCCCATGCTCTTAACCACTACACCACACTGGCTCTCCTTTATACCTTGTTCAATAGGAATGCCACATTTGTAGAAGTCTGAGCCTACTGTCATGAGTGCTCTCCTTTAATTCGTTTGGAGATACTGTCTTTAGCGTTCTTTATTTTCCCTCTCTTTCTCTGGGTATATAACACTGCCAGTCTTATACATTAACCTCTTCCACTGTATTGTGCACAAGCTGTAAGGCTTCCTCATTCGACTAGACTAGAGACATTCAAAAAGAAACTGGACAGCCATCTGAGTGGGATGGTGTAACATGGTGTCCTGCTACAGCAGGGGGTTGGACCTGATGGCCTTCATGGCCCCTTCCAACTCTTCTATTCTATGGTAAGTCTCTGAAAGCTGCCACCTTTTTCCAGGGAAAAGGAGCTTGGTAAAAAGTTCTAGTTCTTTCAGGGCAAGAGGAGCAGGGACACTGCAGTTCTGATTTTATGTCAAAAAGGCACACATAAGCAACCTTTCTCTATAAAGATTTATTTGGATTTTCCCTATATATAGTAGCCCCATTCACAATTATCATTTTAGACCACCTGCCTCAGTGGTCTAGGTAGCTGTATATTCTGGTTCCAGATGGCCCTCTGTAAATGTCTGTAGTTTCAGAGTATTAAAATGATAGAATCACAAGTGGTTCTGAGCACTTAAAGTTGAAACATTGTATCCAGCTAACACCTGGGCTGCTGAGAACAACCCTGACCAGATTTTCCTGTTCCAATGAAATTGCCTCCTCCTGCATGTCAAAACCCACACCTAGGATCACTTATGATCCATGATGCCCTGATATTCGCCTTGTCAATACCAGCCAATAACTCCTATCGTTGTGACATTGTGTAATATTCTCTCTGCTGTTAACTTTACATTGTTCTGTTTGTGCCTGTACTGTTCCTTGCAATGTACCCATTCTTCCCTCATCACCCCCGCTGCTGTGTACATGACCCAGACTGTATAAAACATTCTGTATATGCTCTGGGAGCTTATAGTTGGTGGGCGTACCTGCTGTTTTAGGTTTGTCTCTGCAGAGGGGTTTACCTGGGTGTTCTCACCAATAAAACTGCTGAGGTTCGAGTGTTCACATCTTCTGTGTGGATCTGGAGTGTATATTCTCCTGTGATTTCAGGATTTGTTGACATATCTATCACTCGCATATGATAATTATCTCTGATATAACCTTTTTTTTTTTTTTGCAGTTTTGCTTTGGGGTGGGGGGGGCAAGCTGTATCTTTGAGTTGTTGTGCCAAATAGAACAAAGGATTTATTTTTGTTCTGATGGTGTGAATCATCAGTTCAGTGGAATGATATAACCAAGGGGAAATTTCCCTTGCAAAGTACTGCCAGTGATTAAGTCTTCCTCCACTTTCCCGCTTCAAAATATCCACAGTTGTACTGAACCCATTGTGAAGGCCTTAGGAAGAGCAGTCCATCAGTGACCCTGTCTGTCAAAGACTGGAAGTTGATGTCCTCAGTTTGGGGCTGTGAGAGAACTGGTTTCACAGAATCATAGGATAGTGTATCTGGTTTGCAGTCAGCTGAGATGACAAAATTTGATCCAGCTGCAATGCCTCTGGCAGAGCTACAGCAGCATACAGGACACATGCATCCCTACAGTATTATTTCCTGTATAATAGCTGCTGCAAATCTTTGTGGGAGGGGGAAGGTGGTTGAGCTGCACCAATTCAGCTCTTCTGCAGGTGCAACCTCATTTGCTTGCTGCTGCGGAGGGAACAGAAAGGAGATTTTCTTGCAGGTCTCTGCAGATTTTCCTGTCCCACTGATCTGCCCTCCTACGGAGTGGTTGGAAAGAAGACAGCAGTAGTAGAGTGCACCTCCCATCTCTTTTCCAGACACCAGCTTGCCTGAATGTTCCACTAACCCACATGTTCTGATAAACAAAAGCCCTGCAGCCCGACAAACCTGATTTTATCCTGTAGTTATTGCATTTTAGTATTATACTGTATTTGCATTTTATTATGCATTTTATTATTGTCTGTTACGAATTGCCTAGAGAACTTTGGCTATTGCGTGGTATGGATATAACTAACAAAAATAAGTTAGCCTTTGAGGAATGGTATGTCTCTTTACTGAGTTAGGGAAAAAACTACTGGGGTGGGAACGAGTTTTGAGAAAAATATTGGGTGAATAGACCCAGTGAAGACTGGCCATACATAATTAAACGAGGAACAATTATTGGCTTAAAATCCCCTAATAACTTAAGAAGCAATTCCATTGAGATCTGCAGGATTTTATTTCTAAATAAATGAGTCACGGGGTGTAGGGATCATTGCAAGTTGCTTACTTCAGACGATCCATTATGCCTAGCTCTCGTCTCCTTACCCCAGTTTAAAAAAGAAAAGAAAAAGAAAATCCACGGTAAAGATCGCGAGGGCCTCAAACTAGCACTCCTTCGAGAGCACAGGGAAGGGAGTTGCAAAGAAACCTGCCGATTCCCCGCCCGATCTTGCCTTAGTAAGTTCCACTTTAATGCTACTTGTTTCTAAGGAAGCGGGCACAGAATTTAAGAAGCTGCAAGTGGCGGCGGCGGCTGGTTGTGTGCAGAGGCAGATGAAGCTCGGTGCCTTTTCCTCTTTCTGGAAAAGGACAGATGCAGCGTTGCGGCTACTTAAAGCTCCTGAGTCCTCAGGATTTTGGAATGGGGAGCGGAGGGGGAAGGCTTGTGGAAAACCGTTCTGCCCAGCAATATGCCTTGCGAGATGCCTGCATTGCGTCGGTTTGGTATCTAGCCGGGTTGCAATACTAAATCCTCGAGAAGGTCGTGGGAGGCGAAGGGACAGTGGTCTGGTGGTGCTTAAGCGTTTTTCAAGCTCCCAGAAAGAGGCCTCAGGCGGCTTGTAGGCTGGCGCGGCCGCCGCCGCCACCGCTGCTGCTTGAATAGCCCGGGAAGAGGACAGCAGGAACTACGCGCGATTCTGCCCTACCTGCTCTTCCTCCACCCCCTCCCCACCGCAACGGCTTGGCTGCACCAAAGAGCTCTCAGGTTTCTGCTGAGACTGCAGCGCAGTCAAGAGATGGCTCTCCTCGACTGCCTGCGCTTGCTTTCTTCCGCCACCGCCCCCTGTCTGGGTTCCGTGAGCCCTGCCACCGCCTCTCCTCCAGCCAAATCAGCTCCAGGGGGAACCAGGTGCAGCAGAAGCACGACCGCGCACTGAGCGGGCCTTCAAGAAGATCCACAGCCATATGCGAGAGTGGGTAGCCTGGAAAGGTTTTTTTCCACCCCTTTCTGCTGTCCTCCTTTTGGTTCGAGTGCGTTGTAGACACTAAGGAGGTGCCCCTCCGCTTCTTGCACCTCTTCGTCCTCTGTTGCTTCGCTGTCTAATTAGCTTCCAGTCTTCTCAGTGCAGCCAAAAACTAGTGGTGTATGAATATTTCAGCATTTCTCAGCAGCCTTGTAAATCGATCTTCTCCTTCTCCTTATTATTATTATTTATTGAGGGGGGCGGCGGCGGGTGAAAATTTGCCGCGGCGCTTTGGATGTTGATGCTACTGATGCTGTAAGGCGAAGCGCCTTGACGCATTCCGGCCGGGTCTTGCTTACGATCGCTGTCGCAGAAACCAGCCCGCACCGCAGCAGGTAAGGGAGAATCCTCCTTGAAGTCAAGTTTGTGGTTTATCGTAACTAATGCCTGGAAACTGGTGTGTATGAATGCGTATGTATGTAAAGGAAAGGTGTAGCTTCCGTACTTAGTAAGATCTCTCTTTCCCCACTCTGTCCACCGACCTGGTGTTGGAGAATAAACGCCTAATCCCCCGCTCCCCTCAAGAACTTTACAAATATTTTTCTCCTTGTTTTTTTCTTCATTTAAGAAAGCTGACGGGATCTCACCCCATCAATTTTTCTGTACATGCCTCGAAGGCTTACTCTCCTATTAATATTTTTATGGGCTTCAGACCCACTGAACTCAGTGGGTCATCGTGGGAAATGTGTATACTGTTAGAGCTTTAAAGCAAAGTTATTTGGAAAACAGTTTCCCTTAAGAGAAGGTAGAAAAGTTGTGGTGAGCAGAACCTGGGACTTTACTGAGGTGGTAATTAAAACAAAAAACGTCTGTCTGCTAGGCTTTTAATTTACTTTAGGAATCCCAAGTTGCATTCTGGAAAGAGTTGCATGAGGTTTAACATCACTGCAATAGAAAGCATGATAATGATTTTTGCAGTTTGTGTGTGTGTGTGTGTGTTTGAGAGAGAGAGAGGCTTTTTTATGAATATGCTTCTTATCCCTTTACAGTATCTACCAGTTGTCCTCGAAGTGAGCTTTATTCCTTAATAAATAAATAAATAAATAAAGAGGAAGGGGCCAGTCCAGAGCAAGTGGGAAATCGGTGGATATTGCTGAGTCTGCATTTCAAGCAATCTCGTCCTAGTCACCATATTTATTTATTTATTTTATTGAGGGCAAGTGTGTGACTATAGCCGCAATACAGCAGCAGCAGCAACATGGTCACAACATCAAGAAAAGCAAAGGAGCTGCATTAAAAGACAGAAGGAAACTGCTCAGAAGGGGATCCCAGGCTCAATGAATTGCATGTGTGCTAAGAGGCCTTAGCCATCCCATCTTCCCTGGTACAACCAAAGACTCCTTTATTGTTGCTTTCTCTGAAATGACCAGCACCTTATATCTCTTCCTTTCTCCAGCCTGGGCACCTTCCAACCTAATCCCATCCCTTTATTCTTAATCTTCCCAGCCTTGGTATCCATTCTCAGTTTACTAATGTCCACCTCTCAAAGCTGCCCCTGCCAGCACCTCATCTCTTCTCTGCACGCACACTGCATTTCTGCATCTAAATCTAATAGTACTCTCCTCTGAGGTCCTCCATTCTTCACTCTCCTTCACTTCAGGGGGCTTAATTTGGAACTCTTCTTCTTCAATATCCTGTCAAGGCTTCTAATCTTTCAGTTTCTCCCATCCTTTTTCCACCATGACTGTGATGGCTGGGGATAATGTGGATGAAACTTCTGCTTTGCCAGGACACCCTCAAGACAGCTACCAGCCTGGTGCTCATGATGACCATGACTGCTGTGAGAGGGTTGTGATCAATATTGCTGGCCTTAGATTTGAAACCCAGCTGAAAACTCTTGCCCAGTTTCCCAACACGTTGCTGGGTAACCCAAAGAAACGCATGCGATATTTTGATCCGCTGAGGAATGAGTATTTTTTTGATCGGAACCGGCCCAGCTTTGATGCTATCCTCTATTACTACCAGTCTGGAGGGCGGCTTCGCAGGCCTGTTAATGTGCCCTTAGACATGTTCTCTGAGGAGATTAAGTTCTATGAACTGGGAGAGGAGGCTATGGAGAAATTCCGGGAAGATGAAGGATTCATCAAAGAGGAAGAGAAACCCCTGCCTGAGAGGGAGTATCAGCGGCAAGTATGGCTCCTCTTTGAATATCCCGAGAGCTCTGGGCCTGCCCGCATCATTGCAATAGTCTCTGTCATGGTGATCTTAATCTCCATTGTGATTTTTTGTCTGGAAACTTTGCCAGCATTGAAAGAACAGGAAAGAGACTATGCAAGCCCCCAAAACCGCAGCGACAACTCCACCGTGTTTTACAAGTCCAATATCTTTACAGATCCCTTCTTCATTGTGGAGACCCTGTGCATCATTTGGTTTTCTTTTGAGTTGGTAGTGCGTTTTTTTGCCTGTCCCAGCAAAGCAGAATTCTTCAAGAACATCATGAACTTCATTGACATAGTGGCCATCATCCCTTACTTCATCACTCTGGGTACAGAGATGGCTGAGCAGGAGGGGCCTCAAAAGGGGGAGCAGGCCACCTCTCTGGCTATCCTGAGAGTCATCAGACTGGTAAGAGTCTTTAGAATCTTCAAACTCTCCAGACATTCTAAGGGCCTTCAGATTCTGGGACAGACCCTCAAAGCAAGCATGAGGGAGTTAGGCTTACTAATCTTTTTCCTCTTCATTGGGGTGATTTTGTTCTCCAGCGCGGTGTATTTTGCTGAAGCTGAAGAACCTGAGACTCATTTTTACAGCATCCCTGATGCTTTCTGGTGGGCAGTGGTATCCATGACCACTGTGGGATATGGTGACATGTACCCTGTGACAATTGGAGGCAAAATCGTGGGCTCCTTGTGTGCCATTGCTGGTGTGCTGACAATTGCCCTGCCAGTACCTGTCATTGTGTCCAACTTCAACTACTTCTACCACCGAGAAACAGAAGGGGAAGAACAGGCTCAGTTGCTTAAAGTTAGTTCTCCTAATTTAGCATCTGACAGTGATCTGAGTCACCGTAGCTCCTCCACAATCAGCAAATCTGAATACATGGAAATTGAAGAGGATATGAACAATAGCATAGACAATTTTAGAGAGGCTAATCTCAGAACTGGCAACTACACCGTAGCCAATCAAAACTGTGTTAATAAAAGCAAGCTGCTGACTGATGTTTAAAAACATGTCGAAAAGCGAAACACTGGCAGCTTGAAGATTAAGTGACCAGCAGTCACACTTTGTAGATGCTTTATGAATAGTCTTTGAATGCTTTACCTCGTAAATGCATTGTTGCATTGCGAATTTTTGCTCAGCGATTCAAGAAGCTTTCAGGATCCATGAATGGTATTAACATTTTTGTTTTTTTAAGGGTACTTTTCAATTGGTATGAATGGTTAATTATAACTCTTTGGACTCAGTTATAAATTAGAATTGTATGCTTTTAGCCCTAGACAGTTTTTCCCATTTCTTCAAGCTGTTTAATTTAAAAATCATCTCAAGAGGACTCTGACAAACATTTAAAATATGCATGGATTTCAGGAAAAGTTTCTACAAAACAAACTGCACAATGAATCCAAGAAAATGCATCCAAACAATATTAAGCAGTAATGTGCAGTAAGTATTTGCCATTCTTTTAACTGACTAACATATGTGTTTCCTTTGTGAAAAGTTTTCTAGTTCTTATTTACAGATTCATATGCAGCACCTTATAAAAATATGTCAGGTCTTTTTGTTTTTGCGTTATACACTCCCAAATGATTCTATGGGGGTGGGGGGAAAGATAAAACATCTGCAATGCTGCTAAGGTTTCTTAAATGTAGATGGTTTCAGTGTACTTTTTCCCCATCTCCAGAACTGGATGCAAACCTTTTCAGTTCCTTTGTTGCAAGATAGCACAACAGAATGCAATATAGCATGCTTGACTTTGATACTCTCTAATTTGTAACTGCATGCCTGGAACATTACCTCAGATAATAGGGGATAAGCTTCTCTTTGAACAGATCTTTATAATAGGCCCTTTTTCTTTTAATTTGCATTCACCAAAAGTGCACTCCTTTTTATTTATTAGGTATCTGATTAGTAACTTAAGGTACTGTATCTAAGTGCATACGTTAGTTAAACAGGAACAATAACTTCTGGAGATCAAAGCATGTTCAAATATTCAGCATTATGGCCTACCTGACTATGGTATAGCTCAATTAATGCATGATTTAGTAATACATTTTTTAAAGTGCTTGTTGGGAATGAGGGTCAGAAAGAGCTCACTAGACAGACTTGATGATTTTCCTGCATTGCTCAGGGAAATAAACTGGCTTCTGTCCAGGCCTTGTTAGAAAGTAACATATCCCATCCCTTAAAGGGAAAGTTATATGGAAAATTAAGACATCCTGTTTATATATAGCAATGCCTGAATATTCTGCATCTCTTGGAGCAGAAAAAAGGCACAGAAGCATGCCTTTTGGTGCATTCTTAGAATGTAACATGAAACTTATCTATTATATGCATCCAAATTGCAGCCCAGTTCTTTTGCAATCATACTTTGAACCTTAGAGACTTTTGTACTCCCGTAGGACTTGCTAGAGAGACTTTACCAATTGATTTTAGATAGTTGCCTAGTGCCTTTATCCTTACAGCCACTGAACTGCTGAAAGTGCCTCTATGACAAGAACTGATCCTGAGTAGGTATGGTTGAGTCAACTGGACAGTATCAAGATTCTACTGTGCCAAATGCAGGCACAGCAGAAAGAGCAAGGGAGAAAGACAGTGTATGAAGCAGAGAGGCAGAAGACAAGGGCAAAGACCTCCAGCACTCATGCACACTCAGTTTCCTCCCGTGCTTTCCACTTCTGCAGCAGGGTGATATTCCAGCCTAGCATTTGCCTTTGACTGATATGTTGCAATCATGTTGATTCAAGACTTAACATTTCTCCAGCTTGTTTATAAAGATTTTGATGCCTCCATACTTTTTGGGCAAGAGGGGATGGCCCATCCTTCCCCTGGGATTGTTCTTTGGCAGCCTGGCCCCAAGCACAAGAGGACATGTGGACCAACCTTTGCAGCAGCTACACAGGGAGCCAGGTTAGGTGGCTGCCCTCTGAATCTCTTGGACTCCTTTTAAAGGCTTCTGCTTCTCCAGCCAAACACACATAGTTTCTATGGTGTTCCAACTTCCCAAATTGCTTGGATTGTAAATATAATATTACTGAAACATTCTTCCACTCATTGTACCTTTTCTTCTGGGTTTTTTTTTTTTTTGAAGGTTTCAGAATTTTCTGATAGAAGGCTTTAAAAATTCGCACCGTGCAAATTCTAAAGCTATAGGTCAGAAAAGTCAAGTTTAAGATTTAATCAATGCAGGTACTAATCTTTTAATAATTTTAAGTCAAAGTTGAGGATTTTCATTTCACACTTAGCATATGACAATTTGCTTTCAAATATCTTTTTCTCCATTGCAGAGAAAAGAACATTAATTCTACAGTTTTACAAAAGTTTTCTGTATACATATGACAGGAATGCAGAAAGATGTAGTTTTGCGGCATTGTGATTCAAAATGATGGAAATATTGTCAGGGCAAAATAACTTCTTAAATACTGATTAAATACTTCTGTTTTTTTTAAGGACACTACATTTCAGACAGGTATCCTCCTCCCCCAGGTAGTCACCCTCTACCTTTGGAGTGCTAGATGTGGTGGTCCAAGATAGACTTCCTCAGAGTCCGCAAATTTGGAAAGGCATCCCTATGTTAACCTGACTTGCAAATTACATTTAGTTACCTCAGCAATAATTAGCTCAGTACCATCTGCCACCTGAGAGAGGATGAAGCTTCGCTGGGCTGTTTGGCAAATTTATGTGCTGAATTACTGGATAATCTACTCCTCACTTTATCTGCTGGACTGATCCTTATTCTGCATGTTTAAAAGAAAATATTGCATGCAGTGGTTCAGTTTATGCCCCTGTACCTGCCCTCCCTTGCTTTCATCAGGGATGGGCAAATCATTAGGGCTTGGGGTGGCTTTGAGAATATGATCGTTGTTCATTTATAGTTTATGACAAAGAAACTAGTTCAATACGGAGTACAGGGAATAACCTCATGTAGCATAGGCATGTTACTTCTTCCAGCAAAGATTCCATCCCCCCTTAAAAATAGACTCATTGCTTTGCTAAAATGTCTTTGTAGGCCTGAAGGTGCACTGAACTATTTATTACCTGATTCTTAGCAATACACTTTTTAAATGTTCCTTTTCTTCCATGTTTCTTTATTGTGACTTATGGTCTCTTAAAGCGGGTGTTGGAGTTGGTTCCCAGATTATGCTGAAAATGATTATAGCTAATGTAGAGCAAAAAAAAAGTTGTACATATTGCTGACGCATTGTCAACAACAATACTAGAGCCAAATCTCTGTATAAAATGATGGTTGGCATATTGTGCAGCATTTCTTGACAGATTCAGGCAGAATTTGGATAAGGTTGTAGTGTTAGTTTTTCCAATCTATGGAATTGATTGAATGTTCCTTATTCTTAATCTTGGTACAGTGATGATCATACAAAGAGGAGATATAGTAGCCACTTTAAGCTTCCACTTAAATCTGTTGTAGACCATCCTGAGATGTCTGTGAAGGGATGGGATAGAAACGTTTTAAATAAATAAATAATAAATAAGCAACACACCATTAAGAACAGTAGAGTTGGACATAACTCTGACATGTGAAATGTTATATACTGGGAGGTTAGCCTACATAAGCCTGAAAGAAGTGACCAAGAAATGCACTACCATGTTACTCTTGTGTACCTCTTGTTTGTTTCAGATTGGCTTATACAGGTGACCTTCTCAGTAGATTATGCTCCATGCTATTTAGTGGGAGAGGGTTGGCATTTGGATTTGCTGAGTTAGGTAACAACTTGTCCTTTGCTGACATTGTAGAAACCAATATCACCTGGGCAATATAAAAGAGAAAATATGCTGCCCCTTTTATCAGGAATACATTGTAGTATTAAAAACGGGTACAGGGAATGTTTAGGAATATAGTACAGTATTATCTGTTTTGCAATGTCTGAACAATAATAGTGCATAACATGCATGGGAGTAGCCTGATTATGCATGTTCTCTGTACAAGGATGGACAGTAAGGATAAATGTAGCCACACTCTATCACTATTCTTTAAATATCAACACTGTTATGTGGAATGGGATTGGCTCCGTATTGCAACAATATTCAACTGTTCACATTCAGTCTGATATGGAAGAAATTATTTTTGAAAGGAAAGTCAAAGGGAAAAGAAATTCTCAAGTTTTGGTTTAGAATTCTTGTCCTTACCTTATTTATAAAGGGGCAGAGGAGAGTCTTTTTATCATACAGTCACCTTTCTGACAGCCTGCAGCCTCTTAAACCTTCCATTAAAGCTCAAGGGAAGGTTTGTAAGCCACCCCGAGGCTTTGTTGCGATGGGGGCGGCATAAAAATGTTTTAAATAAATAAATTAATAAGGGAAGATATCATGGGGTGATTCCTTCCACAGATCTTTTTCAGATCAGGAAGTGCAGGCAGCCTGGGAGACTACAGAGCAATAGAGACATGTATACTAGTAAGAAAAAGCCAGTGTGGTGTAGTGGTTAAGAGCATGGAACTGGGACTCAGGCGATCTGGGTTCTAGTCCCCGCTCAGCCATGGAGCCAACTGGGTGACTTTGGGCCAGTCACAGGCTCTTAGCCCAACCTACCTCACAGGGTTGTTGTTGTGGGGATAAGATGGAGGAGGAGAATGATGTAAGCTGCCTTGAGCCCTTTGTAGGAAAAAGGCAGAATATAAACCGAAAAACCCGAAAAACCCGAAAAACACAGACAGTGTCCTCAGCCACTCCAAAGTTAAAAATATCACCAAATGAAGTGCAAGATAAATTACAGCTCTGCTCTGAGAATGAGGCAGAAGAACCAAAGTCTCTCTTATGAAGGAAGAAAACTTACAGGAAACTGGAGATCACATTGTTTGGCACAGCATTAGCTTTATGTCTTCCCTACTGCTGGACACTACACTGCCTCCTCCCCCACAACTGCTACAGGTCTTTCAAGGAAGGAGCAGGGCTACCAGGATGTGCACTAGAGACAGAATGGATCAGAATAATTCCCCAGTAATTTAACATTTGGAAGATCCTGGGGAAAGTGTTGAACCTAGCAGAATGACAAA